ATGATGACTGGAGAGAAAAATTAGGGAATGATTCCTGTTCCTCTGGGCTGAAGGGCTTATTGGTCCTATCCCTGTTCTTCTAGTATGAGGGAGCTATAATAGGAGACAATCCTTGCTCTAGATGGTAGATGTGAGGGGAAGGAGGCCAGGAACCAGGGACACTGAGTGATGAAAAACCTTCCCTCTGTCCCTCTTGTCTCTCCCTCAGCAGATGATGTCAGCCTTTTGGTCTCCACACACCAAGTTGTCCCTCTAGTCCATGGTAACTGTGCTTTATCAATCCTAGGCCTCCTTCCAGGCACTCAGTTAAATCATCTCAAACCAGTTTTGGGCTGCTCCCTCCTAGCCCACACAACCTGTTTGGCCATCTCCTCTTTGCCCCCTTCCTTCAAATGCACGTAAGGAGTTATCAGCATCTTTGTGCCTCTCAAAGCCGCCTCTATATGCATGGTCCTCAGACTACCCTCATGAGCCATTAGCCTGAGAACAAAGTCCAAAATAGAATCATAGCACTGGAAGGGACCTTGAGAGGTCATCTAGTCCAGTCCTGTGCACTTGTGGCAGGACTAAGTATTATCTAGACCATTCCTGACAGGTGTTTGTCTAACCTGCTCTTACAAATCTCCAATGATGGAGATTCCACAACCTCCCTAAGGGGGACAGGGGAGAGCTGTTTTCTCAGGGGCACAGGAGATGTTTAGGCAAATACTGTTTCATGTTCCTAAGGGCCTGGGCATGGATGATATGGGGGAAGATGCATACTCCCTATCATCTGGCAAATGCTGGAAGGAACACCACAACCTGTCCCCACAGGAAGATAAGACACTTGTTTGTTTTGGGGGGAAGCACACTTTTTGTGGCCCATCTGGGTGAAGGCAGCATGAGGAGGAGCCCTCCCTAATCCCTTTGTAGGGGTAGGTGGAATGCAGAGGGTTCCCTTCCAAGCTACGTTCTCAGGGGTTCCTTTACCAAAGAGGGCTGGGACATGGGAGCTGCTTCTTGTTGCCCAGAGGCTGCAGGTGGCACAAAAGTGATGCTCCTTGTCTGTGGTAGGGAGCATTACCCCCATTCCCAGAGGGAGTAGGGTTATATTTGGTGCAGAGCATACTCCCATTTCCCCAGGAGGAGGGAAAGGCTCTCCCTGCTCTCTGGCAGGGGGAAGTGGAGGGAGCACTGGGAAGGAGGGTGTGTCCTATTCCAGTGGTGCCAACTCTCATGATGATGTCATGAGTCTTACAATAGTGGGTGTTTTGCTTGAAGCCCCAGCTCCAGGAGTTGTGATTGCAATGGGAATCTCAGCTTTTGTTTCACAGAAAGTAAGTTATTAACCCTCATGGTTAGGGAGAAAAGCCTGAAAACATGACCTGAGTTCACCCTACAGGTTCAGGCACCAGAATGCAAATACTGTATAAAGGACCCTGATTATTTTATGAACAACCTTCATGATTTTTTTGTGGGGGGGGGGAGCTAAATCATAATTGTTGAGTGCTTAGACAACATTAATCAGGGGAGGAAGGAAGGGGCTTAGGAGCTGGAGGCTGTGGGGGGCGGGGGAGACTCCCTATTCTCTGGGGTGGGGTGGAGCTGACACAACCATAGGTGACCTCTGTTGTGGCACTGGGGGAAGGGCTATTCCCCTATAAGGGGATGGAGGCAGGAGGGGGTAATCTCTGTGTGGCACTTTGGGGGCTATTCCCTTGGGGGTGATCTCTGTCTTGGCATTAGGGACAGGGGCCATTCCCCCCAGGGGTGGGAGGATGGTGTCTGTGTCACAGGGCAGAAGGACTGTTCCCCGCAGGAGGGTCTCTGTGGCAATGGGGTGGGGGGGTTCTGCGGCACGGGGGGGGTCCGTTCCCCGGGGGCGGGGGAAGGGTCTCTGCGGCGCGGGGGGGTCCGTTCCCCGGGGCGGGGGAAGGGTCTCTGCCGGCGCGGGGGGGTCCGTTCCCCGGGGGCGGGGGGAGGGTCGTCTGCGGCACGGGGCAGAGGAGCTGTTCCCCAGGGCTCGGGGATGGAGGCAGCTCTGAGGGGGGCAACTCCCTTCCGCCCCCGGCGGAGACGTGGTGGCGGCCGCTGCCGTGAGCCGGCCAGGCCGCCAGAGGGCGCCGCCCCCTCGGTTGCCCGGGCTGAGCTGAGTCGGCTCGGGCCGTCTCCTCAGCTCGGGCCCCGCGCGCGGCCCCCGTGACTCGCCAGTGCGCGGCCCGGCCCAGCTCGCTCCCCCTGCCCGAAGCCGGCGGCCTGGCCCAGCGCGGAGCGGAGCCGGCACCATGTGGCTGGGCCCCGAGGAGGTGCTGCTGGCCAACGCGCTCTGGGTCACCGAGCGGGCCAACCCCTTCTTCCTGCTGCAGCGGCGGCGGGGCCACGGCAAGGGCGGCGGCCTGACGGGTGAGGGGCCGGCGGGAGCGGGGTGCTCCTACGGTTGCTTGCAGCTGAGGGGGTGGGGCGGGAGCCGGGCCTGGGCTGGCCTGACAGGCGCGGGGAACCCAGACGGGGTGAGGGGCGCCAGGCCTTGGGTAGGGATCCCGTCTCCGCCCCCTTCCTGCCCATAAGGCTCCTAGGCAGGGCGAGGGTTATCGGGGCTGCCCTGCGGGGTCCCCCTGGGGCGAGATCCCTCTGCCTTATTCGTGGCCATAAGGATCCCAGGTCTGGCTCCCCTCGCGTGGAAGGTGCGTGACAAGGCTGACGTGCAAATAGTGACATGACCTGCGCTCAGCAGTGATCCCCAGTGTGCATGTAGGGGCTGGTCCCCATCCCCAGTTCGCTAGGGCAGGTAGGCCAAGGTGCATGGATGTAGGCTTGTTACATTTCTAAACAGGCACCTTTATGCGGTCTCTTTTGCTGCCCTGCCTCAGGCTGGGGAGACCTGACCTTAGTCCATTCCCTGCTTTGCTGCACATTGGGCTACCCACATTTGTCATCCTTGCCTGTCAACCTCCCTTCTCTCTACATTTTCCCATTTCATGTTCAGGTGCTTGATGTCGCTCAGAACTGTTCGTTTCCGTGTTACTCGCCATCTTCCTCTCTTTCTTCTTGCGCTTTCTGGCTTCCATTCCATTTGGTAAGGGTTCTTTTTCCATTCTCAGCACATGTCCCAGCCACTGATGTCTTCTTTTGTAGATTATTTATGAGAGAGGGTACCTTGTCCAGTAATTTTTCTGACTTCTTCATTCGTCTTCCTATCTCTATATGTTATTCCCAATACTCTTCTCAGACATTTGTGATTAAATGCATCCAACTTTTGCATATCTTTTTGATAAGTTGCCATAGATTCATAGATTCTAGGACTGGAAGGGACCTCGAGAGGTCATCAAGTCCAGTCCCCTGCCCGCATGGCAGGACCAAATACTGTCTAGACCATCCCTGATAGACATTTATCTAACCTACTCTTAAATATCTCCAGAGATGGAGATTCCACAACCTCCCTAGGCAATTTATTCCAGTATTTAACCACCCTGACAGTTAGGAATGTGTCACTGCTATATGTTGTGATGGCGATAACGCTTGGGAGCAGATCCCTGTAAAGATCTACAAAGCCATTTCATTGCCCTCCTTCCTCCTTAAAACTGTCCTTTGCAGTAACACCTACAAAAATCATGATAAAGGTTAGGCCATTGGTTTGCTGTGACCACTGCCAGCCATGCTGACCAATATTGTCTCATTGTTTCCTTGTGCTGCTCTGTCTGTATCGGTGCATTGTCTCTTATACTTAGATTAGAAGCCCTCTGGGGCAGGGACCATCCTTTTGTTCTGTTTGTACACAGCCTTACTGCAATGGGGTCATGACTGGGGATTCTAGAAGCTACCACAATATAAATAACAATAATAGAAGTAGATGGAATTATTTTTTTCTGCATGGGAAAAGATAGTTGTTTGAATGATATTCATATAGTCTTGTCTTGCTAAAGTACACCTCTACCCCGATATAACGTGACCCGATATAACACGAATTCGGATATAATGCGGTAAAGCAGCGCTCCGGGGGGCGGGGCTGCGCACTCCAGCGGATCAAAGCAAGTTCGATATAACACGGTTTCAGCTATAAGATTTTTTGGCTCCCGAGGACAGCGATATATCGGGGTAGAGTTGTATCTTCCTTTTTGTGGATTTGTATGATTGGCAACCTTTATATGAGTACGAGAAAGGTATTATAGTTTTAATGTGCACGTATGAGAGAGTGTTTTGTGATGGATGCAGTTGGTTTAGACTTTATAGTTATGAATATTTTCTTACAGTGGCAAAATTGAAGTTGTTTGCTGGTCAGTGAGAATTATTCATTTTATTTGTGTGTGCCAGATTTGGGTATAAAGTGTAGTGAGGGAAGTGATCATAAAGGGTTTAACTGTGATCAAAAACCAATGTTTGCAAACACTTTCAAAACATCTCTTAATAGAATACATACAACTGTCATTATGTGAAATGCAGAATTAGTTATGTAAATATTGCAAAATGTATAGGTCACATTTAAGCTAGTTTGTGAAATGTATAGTCAGTTTTTACATGTCAACACTTGTTAATCAAATGTACTCAATATAAGATGATGTAATATTTACATAAATTGCTGTAGTTGTGCATTTTTCCACAATTTTTAAAGGCGAGAGTTTTGTATTCTGTTTATGTAGTGTATATCAGTTATTTGAATAATCTTAATTATAATTTTTTTATGCTGGAATTTCCTGTTTTCAAAAAGAAGCTATAAGAAGAGATGATTCGCTGGTGCTGTGGATCTCCTGAAAGTTTTAACATTTAAACTAGAGCAATTAAGTGACTGAACCTACAAGCCAATTTGGTTCCAGTGCAAACTTTTTTTAACATCTAAAAAGGAAAGTGGCTGTCTTTGAAGTCCTAGACCTCTAGAAGCTACAGATAGGCACTATCCTTGTTCAGTGCGTCTTAATGTTTTGGAGGAGTAGAAGAACATAGGGTTATGACTGAGTCAGTTAAGTACTTGTGCCCTTAAAAGTTTGAGCACAATAGCATTTAATGTTTTCACTCCAATATGCCATGTGTAAATCATACACACTTGGCACTCAATCATGGCAAGTATTTAGAGAAAGTAGTTTTTATTTTAAAAACTAATATTCTGTTAACCAATTTGTACAAATATGTGCAAAGCATCTACACCAAAATCAGGCACCCATTGTGCTAGGTACTGTATGTATGCACTGTAAGAAACTGTCCATGCCCCAAAGAGCTTATAGGGTAAGGTTCTAATATTGCAGTTGATAGCATATGTGAACCTAATGGTCTACTCTTTCCTGTCACTTGCAGGATCAGGGCCTCAGTAGACAACACAGACAAAGGGTAGGAGAACGGAAGTATTGTTATCTACATTTTACAGATGTGGAACTGAGACATGAGATTAAACAACGAAAAGTCCTTGTGGCACCTTAGAGACTAACAGATTTATTTGGGCATAAGCTTTCGTGGGCTAAAACCCACTTCAACAGATGCACAGAGTGAAAAATACAGGAAGCAGTATATATATGAAAAGATGGGAGTTGCCTTACCAAGTGGGGGGTCATTGCTAACGAGGCCAATTCAGTTGAGGTGGAAGTGGCCTATTCTCAACAG